CTCAGGCGGCAGTCACAGTGGCAGGAGGCTGGGCCTGGGGCATCTCTGCGACCTGTGGCTTCCACGGGCTCTGAAGGGCATGAACCCCCACAGAAAGGCCGGGGACCGGCATGGAGTGTTAGAGGCCACCGTGGTACCATGTCAGGGCCTCTGCCCAGGGAGGGCTCAGGGCTGGCGCTGCCCCGCTGACCTGGACACCCCATCTCTGTTCCACGATAGAGGCTCCTTCCTGAGAAGGCCCGGATCTGGCAGGGGTGGGAGTTTCTTGGACACAGCCTTTTTCCTGGGAGCCCGAAGTCCTGAGAGCCTTTGGCCGGGAGGTGCAGCTCGGGAGGGCCTCACGTGAAGGCCTCCTCACAGTCGGGCGGGGCTGCGGGAAGGATTTCCTCAAGTGGTTTCTGGTCTTCCTTGAATGCCAGTTTCATGCCCCTAAAAGCTGTGATGCCTAGCAGTGGGGTGTGGGGTTTGTGTTTTTATATGGAACCAGCCAGGAGGGCCGGCAGCTCTTGGTGCCAGGAGGGAGGCATCAGTGGTCTCGGAGCAAGCCCCTCGGAAGGGAGGGGCCCGGATGGCAGTTGGGAGGCTGCTTCCCAGTGGCCACCTGTGCCCCTACCCCGTTCTCACTGGCTGCTTTGAGATCTGGGAAGAGCGGCCACCCTGTTGCCCAGCCCGAAGAGGGACCAGCAGCCCCACCAGTCAGCCCTGACCCCAGGGGCCACCAGAGGCAGGAAGGCAGCCTGGTCCACCTCTCCTGAGCCCGAGGGGAGGCCCCGCCTCCTAGGAGAAGGCCTGCAGTGCAGGACACGCAGGGTCTGGTGCAGAGCCACGATGGTGACCAGGAGGGCTGGCACAGGGCTGTCCTGCCCCCCAGAGTGGGGAGAGGCAGTGGTGAGAGCAGACAGCGCCCACCCTGCCCTGCCCTCACCCTGTAGCGCCACTCTTAGGAAAGCCCTCGTGGCTGGCAACTGGCTTTAGGACATGAACGGTAAAGGCTGCCATGTCTCGAGGGCAGCCCCAGTGCCTAGTGAAGGGCTGCGAGCTCAGCCGGGGGACCCCCAGCACATTCCAGCCGGGCCTCCGGCGCTGTCAGGCACATCCAGCTGCAGGCTGAGCATGGGAGGACGGCGGTGTTGGAGGGGGTGGCCAGAGAGCCCCTGAGACTGGGACTGGGTTGGCCCAGGCATGGCGGCCAAGCGTGAAACGTGGGGGAGGGGTCCCTAAACCAGGCCGCAGCCTTGGAGCAGGAACAGAGCCGTGTCCTCGGAAATGGGTGGTTTCCTGCCCTCCGCAGGGAAGCCTGGGCCTCTGGACCTGTCTTGGGGTTTGCTGGAGGCTCTGTTGGAAACCCTGGTGCTGGGGAGGGGTGGTCCGGCAACCAGGCAGGCTGGTGAGCCCTGATGGTGGGGGTTGCGTTGACAGCTTACCTGTCCCCCAAAAACAGTGTGAGCAGGGCGTCAGCCAGCTGCCCTTGGGGGCCTGGGCGCACCGCCAGCCTGTCTGTTCAATAGTCCCTGCTCTGTTCTGAAGCCCCTCACCCGTCTCCACTTCCTCAGGCCAGGGAGGTGAGGGGTGGGCCAAGGTGTCTGTGGAATGCAAGGACAGAACCCCAAGGCGCTGCTGTGGAGTGTGGCCATCTTTCCACCTGTCTGTCCTGGCCTTGGCTGTTTCCCTCTAAAAGGTCCCTGTGCATCTGCCCTGGCCTCACAGAGCCTGGGAGCCGTTGGAGAGAGGCTTAGAAACTTTTCTTGCAAGTTTGAAAATCCAGGGCACCGGAAGGCCCGGGCTGTGTATGTGGAGCGGGTTGAGGCTGTCGGCGTTGTCATTCGCTGCTCACTGCAGGCAGGGATGGGCGGTCGGCCGGGCACCCCAGGCTCAAATTACCTCCCGCTTCGTCTCCCATGCCTGGTCCCTCCGGGAGACAGAACCAGGCACCCGAGCCGGGAGGGCTGTGGGGAATTGGGACTTGGGATCAACCCCGTCCTTGGAGGAGGAGGGAGTCCTGCAGTGTGGCCCTTGGTGGGAGGACAACCCCCGGGGGCCTCGGCTCCCACCCGTCCGCACCTCGCCAGCAGAACCAGGGCCTGGGGCAGCTGCACCAGCTGCCACTCAGCTCCCAGGAGGCCCTGTGGTGGGGGGAGGATGCCAGCTCCTTAGAGAGACAGGGACTCCCCAAGGATCCTCGGAGCAGACACCTTCTGTGGTGCCGTGTGCTGACAGCTGCTCTGCGTCCCTGGCCCCACAGCCCCTGCGCATGGAGTGGCCTGTTGTGTGTGAGGGGCAGGTGGGGGCCGGGCGGGCTCTGACGGCCGTTTCCTCCTGGCACCTTCCCCACTTCCTCGTGTGTGCGCTTAGCAGCCCCGCAGCTGGAAGCCATGAGCTGTGCCCTGGAATCTTCCTCTCTCCCGAGACCATCGGTGCCCCAGCTGGGGGCCTCCTGGGCCAGACCCCATGCCAGCTCCTGAAGATGAACCAACTGGGGCGGCCATGGCCTGGGAAGCCGGCCCAGCGGCGTGGGGCCGAGTCCCAGTCCTCCATGGGCCTGCGGTGTGGAAGGCAGGTCAGATCTGCCGTCCTGAGTGGGGCCGGGGGGCGCTGTCACGGACGAAGAAACACTGGATTTCCTTAGGGGAACAAAGCTGTCCTCAAGTGCCTTTTACACACACAGGACAGCGGCTTTCCCGACAGGCACCCGCGGTGGGGCGTGCAGCCCCTGCAGCCTGCCTGGGTAGCTCCAGCTTCCCGGGGGCCGGGCGCCCTGGTGAGGCAGCCCCCCCCCCGCATCTCCACCCTCTGCTCCCGGCCTCCCCCCCGCATCTGCAGGGGAGAAAGTTTCTTCCCATGGCAGCCTGTCTGCTGTGTCCACTGTTTACCTCCCCTGGCCAGATAACAGCAGCAGGGACGACAGCACTCCCTACAAGGCCAGACGGGACCTGGGAGCATTCCAGGCTCCCCTGCCAAGGGTGGCGGTGGGGGAGGAACCAGATCAGTGCCTCCAGCACCCCAGAATGCTCAGGACTAGTAAGGGTGGGGGCCAGGGCGGGGGCGGGGCTGCCTTCGCCTATGGCCGCTCACTTGTCTCTCTTGAGAAACAGGTGGGCGTGTGCCTGCCAAGGACACCGTGGGCGGTCCCCGAAACCCGCAGATGGAGCTGGGGTGGGTGTGGGGAGGAGAGCTGGAGCAGGGAGGACAGGGCCTGCACTCCTGGGGGAGGCTGCGGGCTGGGGCCCCTTGTGGGAGAGGGTGGGGTGGTGTGGCTTCCTCCCGCCTGCAGGGTCTGCTGCGGGAGGGTCCTCGCTTGACCCTTCCTGGAGTCAGCGCGGGTCAAGGGTTAAGTGGTCACCCCTGGCCCTTGGGATCCCTGTCCCTGAGGTCCTCAACGCTTACCACTGTTCTTGGCATCACGGACTGTGGAACCAGGGACAGCTCGTGGTGGGTTTTTAGCAAGTGGTGAGATGGGGCGCTGTGCTCCAAACCAGACCCCAGGACGGGCCACCTGGTCACCAGTTGAGTGTGCAGGGATGAATTTCCTTCCCTTGACTTTTCCTTCCTTTTCCAGCCTGCCGGGGGAGGTGGAGGTGGTGAAGTGTTAGCGCAGTGACTGGTTCATCCTCGTCTGCCTGGGACCTTCCAGTTTTAGCACGGAAAGCCCCATAGCCCAAGAATCCCTTGGATATCAGCCCCTGTCCCTTCTTACAGGATGTCCCGGGAGCCCTGGGGTGTGGAGACACACAGATGACGGCCTGAGCCCCCGTCCCCATTCTCCAGAGGGAGCAGGCAGGGTGCCAGGGCTCCAGGGCTCATGGTATTCCGGGGTCCACAGTGAGCTGGGCGGCCAGGCTGCTCTTCCTTTGGGACAGGGCTCCGAGGTGCCATGCCACACCTCACCCCGAGCAGCAGCCCTCAGAGGGATCCACCCTGCACGAGCTTCCCACAGCCTGACACAGCCCCGCTGGGCTCACATGGAGCTCACATGGAGCTGTGTGCAGGGCCAGGCCCTCCCGGGGCTCCAGAGCAAAACCCTTTCCCAGCGTCTAGAGGTGCCTACATCCCTTGGCTCAGGGCCCCTTCCTCCCCCTTCACAGCCACAGCACAGCCTCTTCCAGCCTCTCTCGGACTCTCACCCTCCTGCCTTCTCTCATGAGGACCCTGTGAGGACACTGGGCCTCCGCGATCATTGAGGATCCCCTCCCATCTCAGGGTCCTTCACTCAATCCCACCCACAGAGTCCCCTCTGCCACGTCGTGTCCACATCCACACATCTGGGAGAGCTGGGGGCTGTGATTTAGCCAGCCAGACTGCCCATCCCAGTTTTGATTTACTGCACACCCATCCTGGCCCCAAAGTAAAATGCCACAAAGACGTGTTACCTGACCCCTCCCTGCCACCTGTCAAGGCATCTCCCCAGCGCAGCCCTGGGGATTTCCACACAGAAGGCCCATCTGCTCACATGGCCACTGGTCAGGGTTCGTTGATCAAGGTTTTGTGCATCGTTCAGTTTTATCTTTGTCAGAAGCAAAACCTTAAATAGCATTTTCACATCCACAGTAGAAATGTACACAATTCGTTATGTGGGAACAGAAAAAGTGCTTCTCCCTCACCCGCACCGGGAAATGCCCTTTGGTGTCGCCCACCCAGGTGGAAGCTGGGAGGACAGAGCAGCCTCCCCGAGCTGGGTTTGGGGACCCGTCTCCCACTTGCCGTAACCCCGGAAGGTGCCTAGAGCAATACTTGGCGGGTCCTCGCAGGCCTTGGCAGGCGAGAGCCACTGCCGGGCTGGCATTCCTGGGAGACCTGGGCCCTGGGGGTGCCTGGCCAGGTGCCCCTGAGGTGGTCTGAGGTGGTCTAAAGCCTGTGCCCTTTGCCCACCCGTGTTCACGTGGCCTCTCGGGGCTGGAAGCGGCCCTCAACCATCCCAGCCAAGGTTGGGGATTTCTGGGGAGCGAGGGACCAGCAGCTGAGCTGGGGTTCTCCTCCCTGACTGCCCTCTCCTCTCCCCACAGAGGATGGGAGGGGCAAGCTTCGGCCAACCAAGGCCAAGAGCGAGCGGAAGAAGAAGAGCTTCGGCCCACTGCCCCCACAGCTGCCGCCGCCCACCCACTTCCCCTCGGAGGAGGCACTGTGGCTGCCGTCCCCGCTGGAGCCGCCGGTGCTGGGCCTGGGCCCCGCGGCCATGGAGGAGAGTCCCCTGCCAGCGCCCCTCAACGTCGTGCACCCCGAGGTGCCCAGTGAGGAGCTAGAGGCCAAGCCTCGGCCCATCATCCCTATGCTGTATGTGGTGCCTCGGGCCGGCAAGGCGGCCTTCAACCAGGAGCACGTGTCCTGCCAGCAGGCCTTCGAGCACTTTGCCCAGAAGGGCCCGAACTGGAAGGAGCCGGCCTCCCCCATGGAGCTGACAGGGCCCGAGGACGGTGGAGCCAGCAGTGGGGCCAGCCGCGCAGAGAGCAAGGCTCGGGCCGGAGAGGGGCAGGTGGGGCGGAGGGGGCAGTTGGGGAGGAGGGAGGCAGGCAGAGAGGATGGAGGCAGGCGGGGAGGATGGAGGGAGGTGGAGAGGAGGGGGGCAGGGGGGCGGAGGGGGGCAGGAGGCTGCCTGCTGGTCTCACAGGGAACTGTGGCTCTTCTTGCAGAGCAGGTGGGGTGTCTGTAGTTAGAGAACAGAGGTGGCTCGTGGCCCTTTCCTGGGACCGTCACCCCAGAGGAGGAGACTCAGGCCTTGGGCTCACTGAGCCTGTGTCTGGCTCGGAGGGAGCCCCCCAGGGGTCTGTAGCCTGGCCCTTACCGCAGCTTGTTGTGTGTTTCAGGCACCATCCACATTTTCCAAACTGAAGATGGAGATCAAGAAGAGCCGGCGCCATCCCTTGGGCCGGCCGCCCACCCGGTCCCCGCTGTCGGTGGTCAAGCAGGAGGCCTCAAGTGACGAGGGTGAGTGGGGGTCCCGCTCCCTTCGACCTCCTCCTGCCTTTCCCCCAGGTCTTCCCCGGTGAGCCCAGGCCCTTCTGTGGCTGCGCCACCTTACCTGTAAAATGGGGGCCGGTCCTCAGTGAGTCCAGTCAGGAAGGCTCACAGAGCTGAGGCTTGGAATCCCCAGGCCTGGGCTGAGTGCTACCTGCAGACCCGGCTCCTGCCAGCACCCCCTCCCCCAGGCCTGGGCCAGGTGCCCCGCCAGCTCACAGGGGGGCTGTGGGTTGGGTGGGGGCAGAAGTGCTGGCCACCCCTCCCAGGTGGAGGTGACGGAAATGGAGTCAGAGTTTGGGATAACCAGGTGAGGCCTGAGAGCTTGGGCGGGGTCAACATGCAGCCCCTCCCAGCGTCTGACTTGTTTCCAGTGCAGACATCCTCACAGCCACATCCATTGCTAGACATGGCCAGCGAAGAGGTCTGTCCTCAAAAGCACTGCGGCTGCCTCGGGGGCAGGGGGAGGTCCGCTGTATTCCAGGTGCATGACCAGAGGAAAGCCCCTCACTCACCCTGGCCACCCTGACAGGTGGTCACCCTGGGACAGGTGGTCACCCAGGGCAGGTGGTCACCTTGATACGTGGTCACCCCAGGGCAGGCAGTCACTCCAGGACAGGCGGTCACCCCAGGACAGGCGGACACCCCAGGACAGGTGGTCACTCCAGGATAGGCAGTCACCCCAGGACAGGCGGACACCCCAGGACAGGCGGACACCCCAGGACAGGTGGTCACTTCAGGACATGTGGTCACCCTGAGTAAGCAGTTCCCTGGGACAGGCCGTCACCTGCGCAGGTGGTCATGCAGAGAGGCAGCTGCTGCTGGAGATGTCCCTGCTGCCTGGGCTGCCCACGATGGGGGGCTTAGGGCTTGTGCCTCCCCACGGAAGAGTCCTCCCAGGCCTGAGCAGGGGCCATCTGGGCCTTGGAGAGGTTAGAACAAAAGGCTGTGGTGAGGCTTTGAGTGGGAGGGAGGAGACAGAATCTTCCGTGGAACCCTCAGCCGGGAGCCGCTGTCTTGTGCGCAGGAATCCTGCTAAGCCCATTTTTCATCTCCTGCTTCAGCCTTTGGTCGGGGATGTGCATAGAATATGAAAACGGCCTGCATGCTGTCTTTCATCCTGTGCGTAATTGCAGGGGTGGGCGAGGAGGGTTCTAGGGCCGCTGGGATCGCAGGGCGGGAATAATCAGCAGGGGGCAGAGCAGTGACCAAGGGCCCGTGGGCTGCCTTGGGAAGGGGCCTTGCCTTCTAGCTGGGGATCCTTCCAGAAAGCACCTCCAGGGCCTCTGTGGACTCCCCCACTCCCCACACCCCACTGCGGCCCTTTGGTGAGACCATCACAGCCCCAGAACTCCAGGCATCCCGGGGCCGTGAGTGACGAATATAGCTGGTGGCTCCGTTCTCATCCCCTGGGCCTCGAGCCGCTTAGGGCCTTCCCTGGGCTCAGCTGGTGGGACTGTCGGGTCTGGGTTTTCAGAGGAGTCTTGGCCTAAGGTTCCTGAGTCTACCATGGGGGTCCTGGGCCTCCACCTCGGGGAGCCTGCCCTGCCGTCTTCTGGATGAACCAGGGTCAGCACCACAGCTGGGCTGATCCCAGGACCCCAGGCTCCCCTTAGGCTGGGCTAGGGGTTGGGCCACAGAAACGGGTACCCTTCTCCTGGGGACAGCCCAACTATGTCCACAGGAGATGCAGGGAGGAGACATGGCGAGATTGGGGTGCGGCAGCTGGCAGTGGAGCCCATTAGAGTCCGGTCGGGACGGGCGGCAGGTGGGAGAGAGACCGCTGCTGCTTCTCAGCAACAGACCTGCCTTACTGGAGTGTCCCTGTCACGAAGCTCTTCCCGGGATGGGAGCCTTGGCTTCTGTCACTGCCCCTCCTGACTCCCTGCCTCACTCCTCCTGCACCTCCCTTGAGTTCAGGGAGTCTGTGCCCACCCAAGACAGGAAGGACAGTGTCCCTGAGTATCGCTGGGTCACTCCTGAAGCCCCCACACAGACTCAGACCCCAGGACGGGTGCAGGGCAGCAGGGGCAGGGCTGGACACTGAGTTTGGTGGGTCCGTGGCCCAGAAGGCCCCACGTGAGTGTCAGAGTGGACAGCTCCAGATGTCCAGGGAGAAACAGATGTTGGGGGAGGGGCTCAGAGGAACCATGTTTAGGGGCTGAGGCCTCGGGTGGCAGTCAGCCAAGACAGATGTGTCCCCTCTTGGTGGGATGGGACGCTGCAGTGCCAGCTTGCTGGGCATAGTGGAGAATGGGGCACCCAGGAGGCGGGTGGAGGGGGAGCCACGGACCAGGGGCCCTGCTGGGCTGCAGCCGCAGCCCACCTCCTGGGCAGTTGGGGTGATTCCTCAGGCGGGTTTTTAGGGGCTTCAAGTGTCTCTCCTCTCCTCTGTTCTTCTAGAGGCATCCCCTTTCTCCGGGGAGGAGGACATGAGTGACCCCGAGGCTTTGAGGCCCCTGCTGTCCCTGCAGTGGAAGAACAGGGCAGCCAGCTTCCAGGCCGAGAGGAAGTTCAACGCAGCGGCTGCGCGCACGGAGCCCTACTGCGCCATCTGCATGCTCTTCTACCCCTACTGCCAGGTGGGCAGGCGAGCCCCGCGTTGGCACAGTGGCCCTGGGCGGGGACCTCACCCCCAGGCATGTGCTCCGGCAGGTCTGGGTAGACAGAGGCAGCGAGGGTGCTATGCGGAGGGCGGCGAGCCTGCCTGGGGGCCCTGCCGCTGAGAGCCGCCCACACCACACCTGGGAGCCGGATTTAGCGCCCTGGCCCCTGAGACAAACAAGGCCTGACACCTCACCGTCCCCAGGCGCTCGCTGTCCTTTGTGAGGCCGGAGAGGCTGCTGGCAGCCACAGGCCGGGCCGGCCGCGTCCGACGTGCGTCTTCCTGACTCCCCTTGCCAGGCAGAGCGTTCATCACGCGCCCTCCAGCGCACCCCAGCGCCGGGGCCACGCAGGCAGCCTGAGCTCTGTGTCTGATGCGACCCTCATGGGAAGGTCTTCACGGGGTGGGGACAGGGCCAGACAGTGTTTGGGGATTCTGGCTTTCTGGAGGAGTGAGAAGAGGGGCCGAGGTGGCCCTTGGCACTGTTATACCCAGGCGAGTTTAAACAGAAGCGCCGCGCTCTGAGCGTCCGCTGTTAATGGCCGGCGTCCGAGTCAGCTAGAGCTCAAAGGTCTCAGCCCAGGACAAAGCCAGCCCACACTTTTGTATCAGTTTAGGGTCAGGGCGGTAAGCAGATTAGTACAGAATCAGAGGGAGCAGGTTAGGGGAAGGGGGCTAACAACAAAATTCTATTTAAAGCTTTCACTCAGGATGTGGGGGAGGCAGTTACGCAGGTGCAGGCGCAGGGCGTATAGGCCAGTGGGCTGTTTCTCAGAAAACTGCTTGCAGAGATGCCAGGTGTCTCAGACCACAAGCTCTCGGAACAGAACGCCCTGCGTAGCTCAAGGTGGCAAAATGGAGTGGACAGGATCGTTCAGAACGTGCTCATCACAGCCCAGCTAGTGTATTTCAGCATCTCTCCTAGTTCAGCAGTCAGGCATCACCCGACTCCCCCCTCTCAAGGTGGGCCCTATAGCCAGAGGGCATCAGGGCCCTGAGAGAGGCCTGCACTGCCTCCCCGCCCCACCCCCCACACAGCTCCGTCCCCTGAAGGCCCCCTCTCCCCTACAGGCCCTACAGACTGAGAAAGAGGTGCCCCCAGCCTCCCTCGGAGAGGGCTCCTCAGCCACACCTCCCTCCAGAAGTGGCCAGAAGACGAGGCCACTGATCCCCGAAATGTGCTTCACCTCTGGCGGCGAGAACACAGAGCCGCTGCCGGCCAACTCCTACATCGGCGACGATGGGACCAGCCCCCTCATCGCCTGCGCCAAGTGCTGCCTGCAGGTTCACGCTAGTGAGTGCCGGGGGCCCGAGGAGCCACGTCTCCAGTGGGATGCTGGCGGGTGCCATCCTCCCCTGCAGAAGCCAGGCCGGCCCCTCTCCCTGGCTGCTGTTTCAGGGCCAGGGCAGGGGCCTCCCCCAGTGACTTCCTGCAGTTTCTGACTTTCTCGTCTTTCCTGTCGTGGGGCTGCTGGGCTGCAGTCCCGCCATCTAGAGAAGGGGAAAGGATGTGGCCGTGGAAGGGCCGGGTGACCCCTGCCACCCCCAGGCAGGACAGGCCTCCGCTCCCCCAGGGTCTGGAAGATGCCAGTGCAGGCTCAGGTGCCAGCCTCTGTGGGGAGGAAGCCTCTGTTCTGAGAGGCCCTTGGCTCATTCCGCCCTGTCCCTGACACCGGGAAGCTTACCCTAGGGCCAGAGCCAGAAGCGGGCCAGGCACGCCCCAGGAGGACCAGAGACCCGCGCCCCGCCTCCCCCAGGCGGGGTTCCCTGCCAGGCGCTCTCTCTGCCAAGCAGCCTTTGCAGGCAGACATCCCTGCCCTTGACCCTGGCCCGGGCACGGTCCCTCCTCTTTGTCCATCTGGACAGTTCTGCCGCGTCCTCCCCAGGCCTGGGAGGCAGCAGGAGGAGCTCGGGCACCCGCTACGCCTGTGATTTGGGGCCGGGGTTGAAACTGATGGTCACAGTGAGACTGCAGCGTGGTCAGGGTGTCTGGTTTATCTCTGTTCTCGGGAAGCCCTCCCCAGTCCTAAGGCTCAACTGTGGAGCAGATAAAGAAATGGATGTCTCTTTCCCAGGCGTTAGAGGGTGGCAGGAAATGAACTTCCAGGGCAGGGGGAGGGCTTTCCGGAGAAGTTTAATTTTCTGTGCCCTGGCCGAGGCGGCAGCCATCCATCTCTGTCGGTTTCCTCCTGGCAGCGGTCGGCCTGGGGGCTCATTGTGTCTCCTGGCTGGGAGGGTGTTCACTCTGCTTTGCCAGGCCTGGGTTTGGCATGTGCCCTGGGCAGGTGGGCTCCCTGGGGGAAGCGTCACTAAGGGCCCCAGGCCCGCCACAGCCAGGCCACCCCAGCCAGGGTCACCCCAGCAGATGCCCCCCCAGCCGTGCCCACCACTCTGCTGTTCTGTAGGCAGTGAGGTCTGGGCCATCAGCCCTGGCAGAGAGCCCTTTCCACGCTGCAGGGCAGTGGCTCCCAGCAGAGGCAGAGCCCTGGGGGCAGGTGGAGCCCCTGTCATCGCTCTGGGGGCATGACTCGGCCCTCCATGCCCTCTCCCCACTTCCAGACCCAGGGCCACGTCCAAAAGCGAGTTGCCTCTGTGGCCTGGGCCTTTCTGGACACAGCAGGAGGTGCCACTGTCGGGGGTACAGACCCCCGACAAAGAGGGGCCCTCAAGACACCACCAGGCTGAGCACAGCAGACCCAGCCGGAGCCCAGGGGCCCTGCTCCCCATCCCTTGTCCTACTTCCACACGAGTAGCTTCCAGACCTTTCTCTCACTCCACGTGCTGTGGCCTGGCATGACCCTCAGAGGGTGGTAACAGCAGATACCCTGAATGCTGCAGCTGTGTCTGGAGGCCCCATCACCCCACGTGCAGACGCCAGCCCCCAAGTTACCCGCACCTCCTCCCAAGTCTCACCCGCCCCCCAGATCTCAGCTGGCCCCGCTGTCTTCCAGGTTGCTATGGCATCCGTCCCGAGCTGGTCAACGAAGGCTGGACGTGTTCCCGGTGCGCAGCCCATGCCTGGACTGCGGTAACTCGCTCCCTGCGGCGCGGTTGGTGCTCTGAGAGGCCGGGTCCCCGGGCCCACTTCAGCTCTGGGCCGTGACTTTGGGCTATAACCTCCCCTCCGTGGGCCTGGGTTCCTCCACTTCCTTCACGTCTGCCCTGAGGGGGTGGAACCCGAGGGACTCCGACCATCACTTTGGTGGCTGCTAGGTTGAAATATAAGGACCGTGGGCTGGGGACGGTTGGCGGATCAGTCCCCATGCAGCGTTTCGGGGAGCCTGCCCAAGCCGCGCTCACCCACAGCTGTCTGGTCCCCGCAGGAGTGCTGCCTGTGCAACCTGCGAGGAGGCGCGCTGCAGATGACCACTGACAGGAGGTACGTGGCGCTGGGCGCGGGCCTGGGGCTGGGACTGGACGGGAGCCCGCCCTGGGCTAAGGCTCCATGGGGTGTGACCCCAGTCAGGGGTCAGCCGTCACCCTCCTGTAACCACCCAGTGTCATGGATGGGGTGGTTGGGGCCAAAGAGGAACACATGCCTGACCTCCCTGAAGGTCCCCAGGCGCTGACCCAGCCGAGAGCCGCATCACGCACAGCCCCTCTGTGGCCGGCCCAGGCCCTCAGAAGCGCCCCTGACCCCACCCCACCCCTGCCCTGCCAGGTGGATCCACGTGATCTGCGCCATCGCCGTCCCCGAGGCGCGCTTCCTGAACGTGATCGAGCGTCACCCGGTGGACATCAGCGCCATCCCCGAGCAGCGGTGGAAGCTGGTAGGTCCTTGTGGTTGAGGCCCACCCTGCCCACGCCTCTGGGACCCGCCAGCCAGGCCCAGCTCCCCACCTGCTTGGTCCAAAGCGGTCTTCCCTCCAAGCTCTGCGTCTCCCCGGGGGTGGGCAGCTCTCAGGAAGCCAGTCACACCGACTTCAGCAGCTGTGTTCCTTTTTGAATCGTTCGCTGAGGCACAAGGTACACTGTTGTGTATCACTGAGACTTCACACCTGCTGAGAGCAGCTCCCTCCACCCGCCCCGGCACCCGGCCCTCTGCTTGTGTGTGTTTCCCTGTGTTATAGATCCCACGTGAGTGGGATTGTGCAGTCTTTATTCTGCAACTGGCTTCTTTCTTAAGAGACAGGGTCTCCACTTAGGGAGGCCGAGGCAGGGGGATCAGGAGGTCTCAGAAGATCGAGACCAACCAGAGATAGAGTGAAACCCCATCTCTACTAAAAATACAAAAGTTAGCTGAATGTGGTGGCAGGCACCTGTAGTCCCAGCTACTCAGGAGGCTGAGGCAGGAGAATCGCTTGAATGCGGGAGGTGGAGGTTGCAGTGAGCCGAGATTGTGCCACTGCACTTCAGCCTGGCGACAGAGTGAGACTCCATGTCAAAAAAAGAGAGAGAGAGAGAGAGAGAGAGAGACAGAATCTCACTCTGTTACCCAGGCTGGAGTGCGTGGTGCCGTCAGAGCTCTCTGCAGCCCCAAACTCCTGGGGTCAAGCAATCCTCCCACCTCAGCCTTCCAAGCAGCTGGAGCCAGGAGCACATGCCAAAAACTTAGGTTCACTCCTAACTTTTTTGTTAAGAGATGGGGTCTCACTATGTTGCCCAGGCTGGTTTGGGACTCCTGGCCTTGAGATCTTCTTGCCCTGACCTCCTGGATAGCTGGGATTACAGGCGCAAGTGGCGTCTTTTTTTAGCATAGTGTCTTCAAGGTTCATCCATATTCATTCAACCCAAATATGGCAAGACTTTCTTCTTTCCTTGGCTGAGTAACGTGCCGTGTGGATGGACCGTGTTGCGTTTATGCGGGCACCGTCGGTGTCTCTGCGGGTTGCGCCACAGCGGATGTGGGAGTGAGGTTGTGGTTCGGGGATTCTCGTGTCTTCCCGTGGACACAGACCCAGCAGTGGGACCGCTGGGCCGCCGGGCAGCTCTGTTTTTAGCACTGGAGGAAACTGCTGTCCCTTGAGGCTGGACAGACTCCCATTCCCACCCGGGGTGCAGGTCTCCTCTTGCCTCATCCTGATCCACACCTACCTTGGACTTTCCTGTAGCAGCCCCCTAGCTGGTGCGTGCTGGTGTCCCGCTGTGGTTTGACATGTGTTTCCCTGACAGTCGGTGATGCTGGGCACCTTTGCAGGGTCCCACTGGGCCTGCATGCCGTCCTTGGAGAGGCGTCTGCTCCCCTCCTTCGCCCGTTTTGTGCCAGGGTGGCTTGGCCTTTGTGGTGGAGTCGGAGGAGCGCTGCCGCTCCGTGCTCAGTGCACACTGTGGCTTCCCTGTAGGTGAGCGCAGCCTCCTCGGTGAGGCGGGACTCGTGCTGGGGGCTTGTGAGGCTTTCTTCTGCCCTCGGTGGTGATGGCCCCCCTTGGGAGAACCCCTTGGAGCCACAGGGCAACCAGGGAGTGGTCACTGTTGGCCACCAGCTGGCTGTGCCCTCGGGGCATTGCTCGCCCTCACTGTGCCTCGGCGTTCCCCTCTGTGCCGTGGGGTTGCAGCGCTGCCGCTGTGCAGGGCTGCAGTGGTGTGAGCTGGGCCCACTCCCAAAGCATGGAGCTCCCCATGTGAGCATGAGTGGCTGCTCAAGGCTGGTTGAGTCTGCAGCCTCCTCCCTGGACCCCCCGTGTCCCCCGCTGCATCTGATCCATGCCGTGAGAGCCTGTGAGGTTGCCCCGCACTGTCCATTGTGTAGGTGAGGGGCCCGGGGCCTGGAGAGCTCGGCCGGTCGTGGCCTGGGCTGCAGCCCCGCAGGGCCGTCTCTGCCCCACAGCCTCTAGCCCACCTGTGCACACAGCACTTTGAGCTGTCCCCACCTGCTGGAGAATGACGCTCGGCTGGCCCTTTAAATCAGCTTCCTGCGGAGCCTTGGGATCTGGCCCAGACAGGAGATGAGGAGGCTGGGTGCGGCGGCTCATGCCTGTATCCCAGCACTTTGGGAGGCCGAGGAGGGTGTATCACCCAAGGTCAGGAGTTCCAGACCAGCTGGCCAACATGGTGAAACCCCATCTCTACTAAAAACATAAAAATTAGCAAAATTTACACAAAAATCACTCTGAAGGCTGAGGCAGGAGAGTTGCTTGAACCAGGCAGTTGGAGGTTGTAGTGAGCCAAGATCACTCCAGCCTGGGTGACAAAGCAATACTGTCTCAAAAAAAAAAAAGAGAGAGAGTGAAGGGCAGACATTGCTGGGCCCGCACTGCGTGAGGCAGTGCTGATGGGGGACACGTTTGTCCCCATCCCCTCCGGCCTCTGCACATGTGTCTCTTGGGCCCCTGGAGGCTGGGCCCGCGTCCCCAGTAAAGGCTGTGCATGAGGCAGTGCTGATGGGGGACACGTTTGTCCCCATCCCCTCCGGCTTCTGCAAACGTGTCTCTTGGGCCCCTGGAGGCTGGGCCCGTGTCCCCAGTAAAGGCTGTGCATGAGGCAGTGCTGATGGGGGGACATGTTTGTCCCCATCCCATCTGGCCTTTGCACGTGTGTCTCGTGGGCCCCTGGAGGCTGGGCCCGCAGCCAGTGGCACCCCGCAGCATCCTGGGTGGTTTTCCTGCCTGGTTTATTCTCCAGCCGCGGACACAGTGCCTGGTGTTGACATTCAGGCTCATGTGGAGGTGGGGCTGGAAGCAGACACATCCGGCTGGCAGGGTGGGTCTGCTGGGGAGACCCATGAGGGTCGGACTGACGCCCACCACAGAGCCCAGGCTCCCGTGCCCTGGTGCTAGGTGCCCACTAGCCCAGCGGGCTGGGATGCCATGCTTGGAGCCCACAGGTGCCAGGCCACCTGAGCAGGGCCGCGCGGGCAGTCACCAAGGCTTATCTGGAAGGGGAGGCCTCGATCATGGGGCAGAGCGTGAGGCAGGTCACGCCAGCCTGGCCGGGCACGGCTGGGCATGGCTGGGCACGGCCAGGTGATTAGGAAGCCAGCAGCCCGAGGGTGATGCTTCCGAGGCACCAGTGGCTCAGTCCACAAACTCGGGCATAAAAGGCCTCATTATTCAGGTGGAGTGATGGCGCGGTGCGCGGCGCCAGTGATAAATCCTCCCGCCCGATGCCTTATGGATCATCTGACATTTCCAGAATGCAGCCTCTTCATTACTGGTGCTTGTAACGATGAATTAAAAATCCTTTTACACAAGGCCCGCTTGTACTGCTTAATGGAGCTTTGCAAGGAGGTGGCAGTTCACTCCTGCTCGCCCAGCCACCCACCCACCTTCGGGGGCCACGGGCAGGCCGCAGGCACGGGTGCTCACTCCTGGTTCCCTGTCCATCAGTCTGTCTCTGGGACTCCTGAGCCAGCAGCTCAGGGCTGCAGGCAGTCCTGGTAGTCAGGGGCCTCTGGCCGGCTGCCCGCCTGCCTGGGCCAGGCTCTCAAGGTGTGCAGCGAAGAAGCTCCCTCAGCTACCCGCAGGGCTGGCTCCTGGTGGCGGCAGGAGTTCCGTGGAGGCGCTGGGAGGTCTGGGAGGGGCTGGGACGGGAGGAGGCAGCTCCCGGGGGGCAGGAGGGGCAGTTGCACCAGCTCTCCACACTGCCACTGCCGTGCCTGGAGGGTTAGGGCGAGGTCGGGGGTGGGGGGCCCTCGGCTCCTCAGGGGTTGCAGTTGTTTGTGAAACCAGGCTGGTGGACAGCCTTATGCCCCAATGTGGGACGGGCTGAGGACACGGTGTCATGGGTGGCACCCAGCGGTGACCACCTGCCTCCTCCAGTCCGTGGCGCCCTGCAGACCTCCAAAGCCCACCACACATCATCCTCACAGCCCTGTGGCCTCCGAGGAAGGACACTGAGCTATGAACTGTGAACCAACCATTGGTATCTGGGCCCTTCCAGGCCCCGCAGGGGCCATAGACCCTGCTTCCCGGCCGCCTCTCCTACACACCGGCAGCCCTGCAGTAGGAGGAGGCTGTGCTGGAGGGCTCCGTGGCTCGTGGCACATGTCATGTGACTGCCCTGGGCCAGGCCAGCACTGGAAGTGGCTCTTCAAACTGCAGTTCCAGGGAAGGGAGGTGACGGCGAAGAACACTTGCCTGACCTCCCGTGGCCACAGTGCATGGCGTGACTGGGACCTCGCATTAGGGGGGTGGCTCTGGGCGGCCGTGGCCCCAAGTGTAGCTCCTGACAAATGGCCCCATGGGTCCTGGGGCATGCTCTTCACAGCATGGAGACCCAGGGGCACGGGCTGCCCGCCACTACAGGGCGGAAGGGGATGGTGCTGTACACCACACCCAGACTGCCCCAGGGGCGGGTTTCTCCCGGGCCTGGGCTGAGGGGCGGACGCCTGTGGGTGGTGATGTGGCGCAGATGGCTCAGCAACCCCACCGGACAGTGTCCCAGCAGGGCCTCTCCCAGGCCCCCCACGGAGCACAGCTGTGACCCCTACACACGGGCCAATCTGCAGGAGGGGGAGGCCACGCTGGAGGGCTGTGTGGCACATGTCGTGTGACAGGAGAATTGGGTATTGACAGTTCGATAATGGGATCTCAATGCTGTCGATCGCTGCTCCAGCCCGTGGCTTATCTGGCTTTTGAGCATTGTTTATGGAGCAGTGATGGCGCTGTGTATTAAATGCTTAGCTGGGCCTGGCACGGGTGTGACGGCCACCAGGGCCCAGTGCTGACTCGGGCAGGTGCTGCAGCGTGAGCCCCACCGTCTGGAAGGTCCACTGCAGTGCTCCCTCCTCACCACGCAGGCTCCTTTGCAGGGCTTCTTGTTAAAATCCGCCATAAAGGACCCACACGGTGGTGCACGCCTGTAATCCCAGCACTTTGTGAGGTCAAGGAGGGAGGATCCTTTGAGCTCAGAAGTTTGAGACCAGCCTGGGCAACATAGCCAGACTCCACCTCTACAAAAAATTACCAGTCGTCCCCATCCCCCACCCTGGTGCCCATGAATTCACTTCCCGTGTCTGTGGACTGAGTCCACGTCCTGTGTCTGTGGGCTGAGTCCACTTCCTGTGTCTGTGGGCAGCCACCCTGGTGTTGTGGATCCTGTGTCCCACGGTCTGGCTTGCGCCAGCCGCCTGCACTCACGGTGGGGCCCCCAGGGCACATCTCTCACCATGTGGTTCCTCTCTGGCTGAGCGACACCACGTGGGGTTCCTCAGTGTCTGTCCCAGCAGTCAGTGACACACAGGGGGATGGGAGGCACTCCTGGGTGCCCCAGTGCCTACTGCTCCCCAGGGGCTGAGTGGCAGGAGGCCGGGTCGGTGGGTCTGGAGGGCTTGGCCAGGGAGGCTGTGGGCTCTGGGCTGGGGTGGAGGCCCCTCGCTGGTCAGAGCACCGGACCCCTCCCACGATGCTTCCCTTAAAGGCTGTGCTGGGAGGGGCTGGAGCCTCCACCCCAGGGTCTGTAGGGAAGTTTCCAGCCCCATGCCCCTGCCTGTGTCCCCATCCCCAGAAATGCGTGTACTGCCGGAAGCGGATGAAGAAGGTGTCGGGCGCCTGCATCCAGTGCTCCTACGAGCACTGCTCCACGTCCTTCCACGTGACGTGCGCCCACGCCGCCGGGGTGCTCATGGAGCCGGACGACTGGCCCTACGTGGTCTCCATCACCTGCCTCAAGCACAAGTCGGGGGGCCACGCGGTGAGTGCCTGCCCGCCTCCTCACCCCCGGCTCCCCGCCCCCGCTGGTGCCTGTGCTGACCGTCCCCCTACCCCCACACCCTCTGCACCCTCCCAGGTCCAGTTCTTGAGGGCCGTGTCCCTAGGCCAGGTGGTCATCACCAAGAACCGTAACGGGCTGTACTACCGCTGCCGCGTCATCGGGGCCGCCTCGCAGACCTGCTACGAAGTGAACTTCGAAGATGGCTCCTACAGTGACAACCTGTACCCCGAGAGCATCACTGTGAGTGTGGGGTGGGGTGTGGGAAGCTGGGCTGTGGGGCGGGGGCGGGGGTTGGGGGGGATCTGGGAACAGCCTGACTCCCGATCCCTTCATGGGGTCCCCTTGTCCCCAGGCCCCTTCAGGAAAAGCACTGCCCCCTGTGCTGTGCAGAAACAGAGCAGAAAGCTTGATCAATGCAACGCGACCCACAGCCGGGCCTGCGCACCTGCTGGGCTCCCGCGGCCGGCCACGGGGCTGCAGGCAGAAAACCTTGCTTGCCAGTGCAGGGGAGGGTCAAAACCCAGCGGAAACCCTGGCGTAGTGTGGCCAGCACCTCAGCTCCCACCTGTTCTCCCCGCAGAGTAGGGACTGTGCCCGGCTGGGACCCCCTTCCGAGGGGGAGCTGGTGGAGCTCCGGTGGACCGATGGCAACCTCTACAAGGCCAAGTTCATTTCCTCCGTCACCAGCCACATCTACCAGGTAAGCGGGGGACTGGCCGCCCACCACACCTTCGCCACGCTCTTCCCGTGGGTGCGGGGATGGGTAGGTTGCAGCCCTGGCCCAGGTGCCTCTGCCTGGGCACTGGCGGTGTGGGCCGTGGTGAGTGGGGCCTGTGGGGCCTGGCTGAGCCTCGGCTTGCCTGCCTGATGCAGAGGCACAGGGCATGTTGGTTTCAAAGCTAAAAGGGGCCTCCACTGGGTGACATGTCCCTCCAAGACAGCTTCGCAATTTTTTTTTTTTTGAGTCGGAGTTTCGCTCTTGTTACCCAGGCTGGAGTGCAATGGTGCGATCTCGGCTCACTGCAACCTCCGCCTCCTGGGTTCAGGCAATTCTCCTGCCCCAGCCTCCTGAGTAGCTGGGATTACAGGCACACGCCACCATGCCCAGCTAATTTTTTTTGTATTTTTAGTAGAGATGGGGTTTCACCATGTTGACCAGGATGGTCTCGATCTCTTGACCTTGTGATCCACCCACCTCGGCCTCCCAAAGTGCTGGGATTACAGGCTTGAGCCACCGCGCCCGGCTAGCTTCACAATTCTTAACGTAAATTCACCCTTTCACCGTTTCGGAGTGTACAGCTCAGTTACCCGGGGGTGTTTTTTTTTTTTTTTTTTTTTTTTTTGTCAAATTGGTAGTGAGTTTCTTCTCATGACTGTGGAAGATAAATTATTTAAAAGTGTGGAATTTTAGGCTAGGTACAGTGGTTCATGCCTATAATCCCAACACTTTGGGAGGCCGAGGCAGGAGGATCACTTGACGCCAAGAGTTCAAGACCAGCCTGGGCAACAAGGCGAGACCCTCCCCCACCGGCCATCTCTACAAAAAAATTTTAAAAATTGGCTGGGAATGGCGCTGTGCACCTGTAGTCCCAGCTACTCGGGAGGTGGGAGGATTGCTTGAATCCAGGAGGTCGAGGATGCAATGAGCTGTAATTGAGCCAGTGGACTCCAGCCCAGGCGACAGTGAGATGCTGTCTCCAAAAAAAAAAAAAAACTCTCTGCTGGGAAGCATTCTGGTGCGTGCAGTACATGGCAACACGGGTGGGGGATTGTGTGATGGCGACAAGACCCTCTGCCTGCCCTGGAGCCCAGGCAGGTCAGACTGGACTCCGAGGAGGGGAGGTTGAGCCAGGATCTCTAGAACGAGGTGGAAGTTTGCTCCAGAGACAGGCCGGACACGTGCCGTCTCCCTCCTTCCCTCAAGACACCTCTGAGGACGATGGGAAATGCGAACGAATGAAGTAGCCATTTATAACGTACGCAGCGCACAGCCACGCTCGAAAATGACGAGGGAAACTCAGGGTGGGACTTGACAACACGTCCCACAGAAGAACCGACGGAAGCAGCCCTGCCCTGGCAGGGAACAGAAGCAGACTGTGCTGGGGGCTCCGGGATTGTCGTCACATCACCAGAGCCCAGGCGGGGCTGGCGTCGGGCAGTGGGGGGAGCTTGCCCCAAGGAAGCCGAGCTACTGGGACAGTCAGTAATGAGATGATGCCAGCCGGGCGAGTGTGGGGCTCAGGCCTGTGACCCCAGCACTGTGGGAGGCTGAGGCACGCAGAGCGCTTGAGCCCAGGAGTTTGAGACCAGCCTGGGCAACACGGCAAAACCCTGCCCCTACAAAACACAAAACTGGCTGGGCGTAGTGGCACTGGCCTGTAGTCCCAGCTGCTTGGGAGCTACTTGGGAGGGTCACTTGAGCCTGGTAGGCTGAAGTTCAGTGATACAAGGTCGTGCTGCTACACTCCAACCTGGGTGACAAAGCAAGGCCCTGTCTCAAAGTGCCACGTCTCCAGAGTGCCCAGGGGCAGGGGCTGTGAAATCAGGAGTGGGAGGTATCGGAAGCCGGCAAGCCACTGTGGAACGCCTGCCTGCCTGCGGGGACCTCAGCCACAGGATCCTGGGAACGCCCTCTGTGGTAGCCAAAGAGGTGGCCTGGAGCTGCCCGACATGCTCCCGAGGCTGAGGCTGGGCCTGCGGGCGGACTGGTTAGCAGGGGCTCCGGTGGGCCCTGGTGACGGCAGAACTGTGTGGATAAGCCCCCGACACCGAGGCTCCAGGAGCCCCCAGCCTGTCCGGAACACACGCAGCACGTTTCCCTCGCACGCACGTGACCCTTAAGATGCTTCTGAGAAGCGCCAGTACGACGTCCCCACGGGAAGCCTGGGTGGAGGCACGTGTCTGTCTCATTTCCTGCATTCGCAACTGTATCCAGTTTCCTCCAAATGTTAAAAAGCAAATGCCACCTTCAGAACCCACCCCGCGGAAATGTGTAGTGGAAGCGCAGGTTCCAGGGAGGCCTCTGGAGGAAACCGAGCCCGCAGTTCCCAAATGACCCGAGCACACAGGGCTCCCCGGGAGCCCACTTGGACCCGGCCGTGTGAGCGCCACCCTCCCAGGCGGCTCTGTGCTCCTGAGAATCTGGGGTGGGTCTCCCCAGTCTTCCTCACCCAGAAATCTGAGCCAGTTGGAGCTGAGTTTCTAGACTGCACCTTCTCCTCCTGGAAAGCCACTTCTGCGTCGTGACTGAATCACTGTGTGCAGCGCCTGCCGGAAGCATAAGAGGCTGATTCGGGGCTGGGGAGCTGGGGAAGGGCTCCAGGTGGGCCCTCGGACCCCTGGGCTGGGAGCTCCAAAACCCACTGCTGCCCCTGCCACACCGAGGGTGGGAATCACTTTCCAGGGCTCCTCCACCTGGATCTTCTTCGTGGGACAGGTGCTGGGAAGGGGCCTTCTCCTGGTGGCTTCCCTTTACAAATGAGATGGGAGGGACAGGGCAGAGGGTGGTACCTGGGGCCCTCAGTTCCCGGCAGCCTCCTCCACACATCCCCAAGAGATCCGTGCTGTCGCCCCAGAACATGGCCCAGAGGTGACCCGCCATCCCAGAGTCCACACTGGGCACTCCCGGCCCTGCTCCTCCTGCCACCAGCTGACACACTCCGTCCCCAGGGCCCACCCCGTCTCCATCCCTGGAGGAGTCCCAGTGACCAGCAGGCCTGGCCGCCCCGAGGCAGGGTCTGCACCTGCTTTGAGAGGGAGGGGCTGCGATCCCGGCCTCCACCCTCCACACCGCCTGTGACATCTGACCCCGGACGCTTCTGTATGGTCTGAGTGTGTGGGTTTTGTTTGTTTTGAGACAGGGTCTCGATCTGTCACCCAGGCTGGGGCGCAGCATCATAATTAGAGCTCACTACAGCGTCGGCCTCCCAGGCTCAAGAAATCCTCCCACCTCAGCCTCCTGGGTAGCTGGGACCACAGGCACACGCCACCATGCCCGGCTTGTTTTGAGTTTTTAAACATGGAAAGCGAGTCCTCTGCGATGAGAACGTTCTCCCCCTAGAGCAGAATGGCGGTTAGAGCCAGGGAGTGACCGCGGCCCCTTTCCTGGCTGGGGGACATGGGTCCATCGCAGTTACGAAGTGGGCCTGGGGACACACGTCCCTCTGCAGCACCCTTCACGGGACAGCGTTGTGTTGCCAGAGACCCCAAGAGGATCTCGGTGAGCCTGAGCTGGCACCAAGCTTGACGAGGAGGAAGCGGGGTGCCCTAGTGCCCCTCGCCAACCAGGCATCTGCCGCCTGGAACAAGACACCAGCTGGGGAGGCTGGAAGGGCGTGGTTTGTCTCTGAATTGAAGAGAAGAGGTGACTGAGCAGTTTTCAGGGGCCACACATAAGCCGGGGGCCCTGTCCTTCATCTTCTGGTCGGGGGCTCCTGAGCTCAGGCCCCCACGTCCCCCTGCCTGGCCTCACCTGCCTCCCAGGCCCTGTTAGTGTGCTGTGCCTCTGTCCTGCTGTGTGCCCACCCAGCGACTCTGTCCCCTCGTCCTGGGGCTGTGTCTTCATGGAGACAGATGTCTGTCGAGCTGGGAGGAGGTGAGGAGTGAGGGCTCTGTCTCCAGGTGGGGGCTGCTGGGCCCTCCACTGCCCCAGGCTGTCCCATCCTCCACCACCCTTGCCCCATGGGGCAGGGCCCTCAGGCTGATCTTGTTTGCTGCAAGCGGTGTCAGAGGTGGACGTGAGCTTCGGCGTGGCTGCAGGTGGCCTCCTGCGGGCCCCATGCACCCAAGGGGCCAGCCTCCCGGCTCACACAGCCAGGGCCTGCCTGGAGCACCTGCCAGCCTGGCTATGCGGGGCCCCTGAGAGCCGAATCCCCCCTGCAGGTGGAGTTTGAGGACGGGTCCCAGCTGACGGTGAAGCGAGGAGACATCTTCACCCTGGAGGAGGAGCTGCCCAAGAGGGTCCGCTCTCGGCTGGTGAGTACGCAGGGCCGGCCTGGAGGCTGCCGGTGACTCTCAGGGAGCCTGTCTTGGACGAGGCAGGGCATGGACTACGGCTCCCGATGGCGTGGGCCAACCACCTCCTCCCACACCTCTGCTGGTGTCCCGCGGGCTCTGCCCAGCACAGCTGGCCCCTGGGCTCCTGGCAGGAGACCCTTCCTCTCCCTTGAGCCCAAGTGCGCAGCTCCTGGTGATACCGGTCGTGTGGGGAGGGAGGATTGGAGGATCCCCGGTCCCTCCCCTTGTCACGCATGCAGAGCAGACCCACCAAGCCCCCTGTGCCCTGCGGGACCTGCGCCGCCCAGCCCTGCAAGGGGCAGTCTCAGCCATAGCAGGTTTCGGGGCACAGGCAGAGTCACTTGCCCAAGCTGGAGGCTACGAAAGCTTTCCTGAGCGTGTTCCTTATTAAACGGGAGCAGGAGTTCTGCAGGCAGGGGCCGCGCCGGCTTTCTCTGGCTTTCTCTCCCGCAGCCCTCACCGGCTTCCTTTATGTTCTTCCTAATGCAGAGGGGAAGTGTTGAGGGGCAGAGCCCACGGGGGAGGTGCCTGCTCCTGGGCACAGCTGCTCAGCTGCAGAGGGGTCCCTCAGGGAACAGATGGGGCTGCCAGACAGACGGACGGTCCCAGCCCCAGCCAGGACGCCCACCCCACTAGGGGCCAGAGGCTGGGGTGGGGTGCGGGCCCCCTCCCTCCACTGGCAGGATCAGGGGTCTGTGTCTGGCCGGCTCGTCTCAGGCCGTAGACAGTGGCCGGGGCGCGCAGAGCCTCCACCACGCTAACCACTGCACTTCCGCTCTCCCGCAGTCACTGAGCACGGGGGCGCCGCAGGAGCCTGCCTTCTTGGGGGAGGAGGCCAAGGCCGCCAAGCGCCCGCGCGTGGGCACCCCACTCGCCACGGAGGACTCGGGGCGGAGCCAGGACTACGTGGCCTTCGTGGAAAGCCTCCTGCAGGCGCAGGGCCGGCCCGGAGCCCCCTTCTAGGACAGCTGGCCGCTCAGGCGACCCTCAGCCCGGTGGGGCAGGCCATGGCACGCCCTGGGCGTTCGCTTGCTGTGAATTCCTGTCCTCGTGTCCCTGGCCCCCAAGAGGCCACCTCCAAGCCGCGGGTGCCCCCTAGGGCGACAGGAGCCAGCGGGACGCCGCACGCGGCCCCAGACTCAGGGAGCAGGGCCAGGCGGGCTCGGGGGCCAGCCGGGGTTGCACCCCACTCAACTACTCAGAATTTTAAACCATGGAAGCTCTCTTCTTCTCGAAAAGGTGCTACTGCAATGCCCTACTGAGCAACCTTTGAGACGGTCACTTCTGTACATAAACCACCTTTGTGAGGCTCTTTCTATAAATACATATTGTTTAAAAAAAAAAAGCAGGAGAAAAAGGAAAACAAAGGAAAATATCCCCAAAGCTGTTTTCTAGATTTGTGGCTTTAAGAAAAACAAAAAACAAAAACACGTCGTTTTTCTCAGAACCCGGATTCGCTGCGAGACTGAAGCGGCTTGCTGTGTTTTTGTTTGCTGTTGTTTTAAAATACCACGATGTGGCTGCAGAGCAGGCAGGGAAGAGGCCGGGGACTGCCGGGTCAGCCCGGCGGGGGGCAGGGCGCCCCGGTTTCAGCCGCCCGTCACTCACTCACCGTCTGGCCTCACCTCCCCCGGCTCCTGGACTCCGATAGTCCGGGCAGCGCCCGTACCCCTCTGCGCCTGCTGGGAGGAGGCCCGGCCTCTGTGCTGGCCCCACTGTGTGCCAGGGGAAGCCCGGGGTCTGAGAGTGAACTCTCTCCCGGGGTTCGTCTTTGTTTCTCTCCCCCAAGAGAATCACAGGTGTTCCAGAGGCTTCCTTGCAGACCAAGCCTCCCGCCCCTCCCTCGCCTCAGGGTGAGGAGGTCCCAGGCCCTTCTGGTCAATATGAGTGTGGGCAGCTTCCCAGCTATTGAGGTGTGACCCTGAGTGGGTCAGGGGACACAGGGCCAAGACAGGCCTTTGGGGGTCCCATTTACCCGCTTCTGAGCAGGGACAAGGCCAGGTATCCTCGGTCTGCCCATCCACGCTGCTGTCACCTGAGGGGAATCTGCCTCTTAGGAGTGGGTTCAGCTGATGGAGAAGACATGGCCTTCAGCCCAGGCTAGGAAGCGCCTCCTCCGGGTGCCTCTCCCTCGCCAGCGGCGCTTTCTCCCGCCAGAGGGAGGGGTGGAGGGGTCATTTGTTTGTATGAGAAAGACAAAACGGCGGAGGCAGGAGTTTGGGACCTGCCTGGGCTATGTAGTGAGACCCCATCACTACAAATGTTTTACACACTAGCTTGGTGTGGTGCGCGCTTGTGGTCCCGGTCATGTGGGAGGCTGAGGGGGGAGGATCTCTTGAACCCAGGAGGTTGAGGCTGCAGTGAGCTATGATTGCGCCACTGCATTCCAGCCTGGGGGACAGAGTGAGAGCCTGTCTCAAAAAATTAAATACATAGATAAATAAAGCAATGTTTATATTATAAGAGGGTGTCCGCACGGGCCCCGGGCTGGAGAGAACTAAGGGAAAGGGGGAGAGCGTGGCGCAGGAGCAAGCCCTTCATTTTCTTGGTGGGGGAGGGGGGCGGTGACCCTGGAGAGGGCCGGGGTTGGGTAGTGGGGGGGTGTCAGCCAGAACGTGGGGGTGTCCCTCTGCACGAAGCAGCCTCACCCAGCGTGGCACTGACACTGTATTCTTATGTTGTTTGAAAATGCTATTTATGTTGTAAAGAAGCGGGCGGATGCCCTTGCAGCCGTGGTCCCTAGGGGGCTGCACCCATCCCGTGGACGGGCCACGGAAGGGCAGGCCGGAGCTGCACACTCTCCCCACGAAGGTATCTCTGTGTCTTACTCTGTGCAAAGACAAGACAAAACCCAGCACCCTGGTTTTTTCCCCACCCGAGATGAAGGATACGCTGTATTTTTTGCCTAATTTCCCTGCCTCTAGGTTCATAATGAATTAAAGGTTCATGAGCACTGCGAAACCCCGTTCCACGCCTTTGAAATTGTCTTCATTTCTGAGCCTGGGCTGGGGGGACCGATGTCGGGGTCTCCCTGGGGTAGGGCTGGTGTCGCCCCGTTCTCCCGGGATGTGTTTTGCTTCCAGAGCTGGACATCCCTCCACTCCCACCTCTGGGGTCCTCAACACACAGCAGCTGGCGTGCTCCCCCCCGACTGTGGCCAGGCTGGGCGGCCGGGTGGCTGAGGCAGCGAACCCCACAATTCCCCCTCAGTTCCCGGAGGGCCTGAGCCTGGCCTCACTTGTCCCAGCTAGCAGCTGCCCTGTCCCTGTCCCCAACCCAGTTCCGGTGACACCTGAGCCCCAGGAGCATCACTTGTGGTGGCACCTGGTGGACGTGCCAGACGCTGGGGCTCACCGCCCTGGGTGTCCACCGGGACCCAGCCATCCCGACCTAGGTCTCTGTCAGTGTGTGCCCACCCCCGCCAGGCACAGGGTCAGCACAGGGAACGCGGGACAGCTCAGCCTCCCTCAGGTGACCCTCTTGCACCTGGTGTGCTGCAGGAAGGTGAGGAGGCCCCTGTGATGGGAGCAGAGGGAGCACGGGGAGGAGGGAGGCAGGTTGTGCAGGGCCTGGTGAGCCTCGGGGAGGACTTGGGCTCTGAGCCCGAGGGAGGTAGGAGCCATGGAGGGCTGTGGGCAGGGGAGGGATGGGACCTGACTCAGGTGCTCACAGGCGCCCTCTGGTTACTGCTTCGGGGAGGAGACGGGGTGAGGGCAGAAGCCAGGGACCAGGGCAGGGGTCAGGTGTCGTGAGAAGCTGGTGGACTCAGTGTATTTTCAGGCAGAGCCAATAGGATTTGCAGATCACTCAAGCCCCTGGAAGGAGGTGCCGAGCTGGGAGGAGGTTAGATTTGAACGCGAGACATCCAGGTGAAGACGCCTGGGTCTGGGGAGGCTGCCCCAGGGCAGGTGGGCAGGGGCCGTCAGCTGGCAGGTGTTGGAACTAGAGGACCAAGTTGCCTCCAGGGAGGGGTGAAGGTGGGGTGGGACTCAGGACTGGGCCCTGGGTGTCTGTGGTGTTACGGGGGCTGGGCACCAGGAGGAACCGAGGCCCAGTAGCCAGGGCTCTCGGGGAACCGGCCAGGCCATCCCTCCCTGGGCCCCGGCGTCCCCTCTGCAGGAGTGTCCGTCCACCCGAGAGCTTGCGTTCAGAGCAGAGGGTGCCCTTGAGGAAAGCTTCGTCCACCAACCGCCCCCCAGCCCCGGCGCTGTCTCCTTTCCAGGGCCGTCTTGCCTCCAGCATCCTCTCAACACCGCCAGGACTCAGTTTCCCTGTCTGCCACAAGTGGGGAGGAGGGGTGCAGGGTGGGGTGAAGCCTGTGACCACAGGAGGCTCGGACCTTCCACCCGCTGCGACTTCCCGACAAAGACTGAGTCCCTCTGGCCGGGCGCGGTGGCTCACGCCTGTCATCCCAGCACTTTGGGAGGCCAAGGCGGGTGGATCACGAGGTCAAGAGATCGAGACCATCCTGGTCAGCAAGGTGAAACCCCGTCTCTACTAAAAATACAAACATTAGCTGGGCATGGTGGCGCGTGCCTGTAATCCCAGCTACTCAGGAGGCTGAGGCAGGAGAATTGCTTGAACCCAGGAGGCAGAGGTTGTGGTGAGCCAAGATCGCGCCATTGCACTCCAGCCTGGGCAACGAGAGTGAAACTCCGTCTCAAAAAAAAAAAAAAAAAAAAAAGATTGTGTCCCTCCCTCCCTGTGTGCGGGGACAGACACAGCCTGAAAGCAAAGCCTCAGGGTGCCGCTCCTCCCCGGGCCCTGTGTGGCACTGACTGATGGGCCGGCATCCTGAGCCTGCCCAGGCTGCGGAGGGACCCGGCAGGAGCAGGTGGTGCCCGCAATGCCCTTTCCACTGTTCTCCAAAACGCTCGGAAACGGGAAGGCAATTTGGGACAGGCCATTGCTGTCTGCCAAGTGGATAAAAGATGAGTGGATGGGTCCCCAAAAGTGCCACCGTGCGGGGCCGAGGAGGACTGCACTTGGGCCGGGGTGGCGCCCCAGTGCCAAGGTCTCGCCTCCCGGGCAGCATGCGAGACTCCGTGATCAGCGCCTGAGTTTGGCCCATTTATTGCAGCTGCAGTATTTCTGTGCAACCCCTGTGCCAGGCTCTGGGGAGATCGCTGAGGAATGTGGGGAAAAACAAAAATGCATCTTTGACGCATGCTCTGGTCGGTCACAGAGGCCACCAGAGGGGTGTCAGTGGACAGCTTTCTAAAGAGGGACTCTTAAACAGATCTGACCCCCCACGGATGGCAGATCAGAGAGACTCAGGCTGTGGGTACATTGCGTTAAGAGCAGGTACCTTCTAGGGCAAGGCCTGGCAACCTACAGCCCTGCGGCCAAATCCGGCCCTCCACCTGTTTTGTCAATAAAGTTTTATTGGCACATGGTCATGCCCATTCATTTACATATGGCAGCTGGCCCCCTGCAACAGCGGACCCGAAGAGTCACCACAGAGCCCACCTGGCTTGCAAAGCCCAATGTAGTTAGAGTCTGGCCCTTTACCAAAAAAATGTGCTCAGCCCTGGCTTAGAAGAAGTGAGTGGTGGCAGCCTCCACCCCTTCTCTGTGCCTCCCATGGGGACAGCCCCTCGGTGCCCAGGCCCACCTTGCCTCTCAAAGCCTCCCAAATAGGTGGACATTGGGCAGCCGCCTCCCCCCAGCTGCCACCACAGCAGCAGGTGGAAAGAGAAGGCTTTGACCAGAGACCTCCGTTCATCCATCTGTCCTTCTCACTGGACCTCCTGCCGCCCAACTGCTGGGGTCTGGGAGAGTCTGACATTCAGCCTCTGACCCCTGCAGCTGCCCCCTCCACAACCTCACCATTCACGGATCGGGCTTCCTCCTCCTCTGCAGAGGGTTCTGGCTTGAACCCCGACACAGTCAAGATTCACAGCTTCCGCCTGGGCGTGGTGGGTCACGCCTGTAATCCCAGCACTTTGAGAGGCTGAGGCGGGCACATCACAGGCGGATCGCAAGGTCGGGCGTTCAAGACCAGCCCGACCAACATAGTGAAACCCCGTCTCTACTAAAAATGCAAAAATTAGCCTGCTGTTGTGACGGGCACCTGTAGTCCCAGCTACTCAGAAGGCTGAGGCAGGAGGCTCACTTGCACTCAGGAGGTGGAGGCTGAAGTGAGCCAAGATCGCTCCACTGTACTCCAGCCTGGGCAACAGAGTGAGACTTCATCTCAAAAAAGGAAAAAAAAAAAAAGATTAATGGTTCCCATGACGGTGCTAAGGTCTAGGTGTGTCTCCTCTCTTTGTGGCCACTGCCCCAACTCCTCCCCCCACCTCAAGCTGTCCCCTGGCCCCGCAAGGCTGCTCTGGAACTCAGAGTCGAAGCCTGGTTATGACCATCAGGGAGAGAAGCTGGCAGGGCGTGCCGGGGCCCCAGAGGCCAGGCACAGGACACAGGCAGGCTGGGGGACACGCCTGGGGCCTTGGCACCAGCCCGGGGAGGGTTATTTATGGATTAGATTTACTCCATGCTGCTGCTCTGTTAATGGAGAAAATAAAATTATTTGCTGCTTGCAGGCAGTGTGACAGGTGACAGCAGAGGTGGGTGGAAAAGTGGGTATCTCCGGGTATCCGTGCCGCCCAGCTAACTCGGTGACATGGACAAATGCTCCCCTCCCAGCAGCTTCCAGAGAAAGGAGGGGCCTTCCGGCCACGACAGCCTCCACCCCCACCAGCCCCAGCAGCTGCTTCAGAAACACAAAGTCCGTAATCCTAGCTGTTGAGGAGGCGGGCGGATCACCTAAGTTCAAGAGTTCGAGACCAGCCTGGCCAACATGGAGAAACCTCATCTCTACTAAAAATACAAAAAATTAGCCGGGCGTGGTGGCGCATGCCTGTAATCCCAGCTACTCGGGAGGCTGAGGCAGGAGAATCGCTTGAACCCGGGAGGCGGAGGTTGCAGTGAGCCGAGACCACCCCTGCACCCCAGCCTGGGCGACAAGACCGAAAGCCCGTCTCAAAAGAGAAAGAAACGGAAAGCCCAAGGTATGGGTGCTGAACCAGGAGTCTGAAAAGGATCTCTGTGGTTGCCACCCCTTCCCAGGGCCCCTGCAGATTCCAGGACACCCCCTGCTCTCTCGGCCCCTGTGCCGCAAACCGGGGGCTTACACAACAGAGAATTATCCTCTCCCAGCCCTGGAGGCCAGAAGTCTGAGATGAAGCCGTCAGCAGGGCCACGCCCCCTCCCAAGACTCCAGGGTGGTGCTTCCCCACCTTCCAGCTTCTGGTGGTCCCAGGCATTCCCGGACTTGTGACCAAATTGCTGCAGTCTCTGCCTCTGGAGTTACACACCCGTCTCCTCCTCTTCTTCACGTCTGCTCTGCGTGCCTAATATAAGGACACTTGTCAGGAGATTTAGGGTCCGCCCCGATGGTCCAGGATCCTTCCTTACATCTGCACAGACATTCAGAAAACCAAAGGTCACAGCCGCAGGTTCTGGGGGAGAAGATGTGGACGGGTCTTTTTGGGGGTCAGCGGTCAAGCCGCTGCCATGCCTTTTCCCCCATCACGGATCAATAACGCCAGCCCTAATTGCCCGGTCCTGTGACTGCTGCCTCCCACCTCCCCTGAGAGAGGAAGGACAGGATTTTGGTCCCCAGGAAGTGACGGGGGTTCTGTGAGTCCTGGTGTTGGTGGAAGTCTGGCTCTGGAGGGAGGACCTGCAGAAGGACAGGTGTGAATGTGGCGTGTGGGTCCCCCACGGGCGGGTCTTCGAGCCTCGGAGGGTGATGATGTCGCAGCAGGGGAGACGGCCCGGGGCTCAGCCTGGGATTGTCATGACTGTCCCCCACTCTCGGCACCGGGGTCTCATCACTTCCGCCCACTGCTACTGAGCCCTTGCACTGTGCAGGCATTTCCCAACCCCACCCCGCCCCCACTCACACGGGGAGCCAGACGCGGCGGACAGAGCAGGTCCTTGCCCCACAAACCCATGCCCTTGCA